ATCTAATCCCATGCATATTACTCAATCCAAATGGCCTAAATAAGATTCTCCTTTGTCAAGAAAAAATCCCAACACCTAAAATCACATTTAATATTGGCCAAGCATTAAATAGACATTCAAACACAAGATTGAGCAAGCAAAATTAACATTAAGCTTAACTAATGGATAAAAATGAGTCGAATCAATCAATAGGTTCATAGTTTCTCTAGGTTTAAAAAAAATTAGCCACACTTGGCTCCTGAAATAGCAAAAATCAACAAGTAATACATCAAAATGAAGAAAAGAAGGAGAAGAAAAGCTTAATTGGAGTAATTTTGAAAAGGGAGAATCACATTTAGCCCCCTCAAGGAAATTAATCACAAATAAGGACCAATAACAAGTTTTATTCAAGAAAAAACAAGTTATGTTCTCATTTTAACGATAATCTATTACGCATTGATCCTTATCTATGATTAATTTTCTTGAGGGGAGTTGAATGTGATTCTCCCTTTTGAAAATCACTAGGCTCTCATGAAACCCAAGCTTTTTTGCCTTATCTATAGGTTTTTTCTTTCCTTTGGACGTTTCCTAGCTACTGGAGTCTAGCAAAGTTGAAGAATGATGAGCCAAAATATTCAAAACCTTAAAAATATTAGTTATCTATGAAGTTATGCATTTCATTGGTTAACGTTTATACTGCGGCATAATCGGGTTATGCTGTGACATAAACCATCATGTTATTGTCACTGTACATCACGCTATAGCATTATTCAGAGATGTTGTAGCACAAATCCTACCTTTTCTTCATCTTCAGTCTTTACTTCCATATAACATTTTAACTCTTAATTTGAATCACCCTATACCCAACATAATATCATTAATGAAATTTTAGCTCAAGTAATCCATTCATTTCAACAAGATACTATCAATTCACACTTCTCATATTCAAAAGCATTTTTCTTTCTTATTTCTTAAATAATAGTCTCTTGTTCTCTCAAAATTACTTAGATGACTCCAAATTAAACTCAAAATTCCCTAATAACACATAAAAATATTTGGAATAATCGCATGGTAAGAGTTCAAAGTTATTAAAGTGGTTTATTAAATTATTAATTTGAAAATGAGTTTAAAAATTTAGGGTGTTATAGACTCAATGTATCATGTTATCCATGTTTCATACAATAGAAACATGATATTCATATGGCATTAAATATAAATTAATTCTACCATTAATGATAGTAAAGAGAAAAAAATGCAAGAAATTAAATAAATATTCTATTATAAAAATAAAGTTATTAAAAAAATAACATGATAGATTTTACTTGATTAAATTGTTATAATTTTATTGAGAAAAGTATGGATATGCTACACTGAGTTTGTGTAATAATTTCTCAAAAAAAAAAATCTATTTAACGTGTAAAAGTAGGTAATATGACAAAATAGTAAATTTAATAATGTCAATGCCTTTTCTTTTTAACTGTCACACTTGAAAGCAACACATGGGGCAAGGAGGATTTGACCAGCCAATGAAATGATTGGGTTTCCTCAAAAGTCCATTTAAATTACATTTGAGACACACGTATCGACCAAATCCGGCAAATGATTACTCCTTTCAAATAAATTTTTAGGGAATGTCAACTAAAAACTAAACATGCACTAACAATACAACTACCATGAAACAAATAAGAATGAGAACAGGGCAATCGAGCAGTTACTAGGCCAACCTTAAAATCTTCAAAACAAATCACACAACTATTGCTTGGCGCCCTTTTTTTCCGTTTCGCCACTCCCTCCAGTATCTTATTAGATGGTTAACTTGCAAGATTTGATCTGCAGCCATGCTGAGATTGATCCTTCAACTTTTTGTTTTGTTTTGTTTTGTTTTCCTGTCTTTTTTTTTTTTTTTGTGAATGGCATGCCTGGATTTTACTTGCAAGATTTGATCGCAGCCATGCTATTGACATTGATCATTCAACTTTTTGATCCGCAACCATGCTTTACTCGCTTAGCATGCCAATTGTGTGCCTTCGGACAAAATTCTAATGCTGTGTTTTGATGCATGTAAATTTGAATCAAATCTCTTTACAAATTCAAAATTCATGTTTCTATTTTAATTTCTTTGCAATTTTATTTTTTTTAAAATCTTAGTTATTTAAAATTTTAATTACTTCAACCCTATCAATTTTCGTTTTTGTTTTAAATATTAGCTCATCTCTCTTTTATTTTTAAAATTTTTTATATTATCTAAATAAAAAATTTTAAATACATAAATTTTTTAATGTGAGATTTTAAAGTTTAAATTCAAATTCAAATTTATTGATTCAAGTGTTACTAATTTTAGGATAAGAAGGAGGGTACATTGAATGGGCGTCGACTTAACTCGGAAAACCAATATTGTTCCATGTGGAAGTCATAAGCTCGTAGGTGCGTCTTTCTTCAACATAAAGAGAATCCTGGCTTCTCAAACAAGAAAAAGAAATCCAAATTAAAACATTATTGAATCGAATGACAAATATCCATGCATGTATAGCATGTACATAAACGTACATCAGACCTAAGAAGTAAAACTTACTTGAAAGATCGATTTGGATCAGAGATGGGCGATATCTCTCTTGGATCTCCCCCAGTTGGTTTGGCATCCTATGTTGATGCTCCTTCTTCAAGCCAACATCTATTAAAAGAGAGTTTTGATTTTTTTTAAATATAATTGGGTTAACGAGCAAAATAAACTTTGAACACTTGATCAAAAAGTATCCTGAACCCTAAATTCTTAAAATATACAAAATAAATCTTAAACTTTTAAATTTATGATAAATAAACTCCACTATTATCTTTTTTATTGCCATTAATGTTCACCATTATTGTCCACTGTGAGCCACAATTAATTAGCGCCACAAAATCTAAACTATTACGTGAGTAGCGTCCTAAATCTTGAACTTTAAAATTTTGAGCAAATTACCCACATCGTTTATGTATAGACCGTTGACTATTATGTGGAGCAAATTAGCCTCAGTGTGATTCACCAAGGTGAATGCATAGTTAGTCATGCGAATGACCCATAATTTTATGTAACATTTTTGCGTTTTTTGTAATACTTCCAAACGATTGGTATTTCATACTTCCATATACTCTACAACTCTGATTTAATCTTATTTTAAATAATTTTTTAATTAATATTGAACACTTGGGATTCCATTGGGAAAGAAGTTTAAATATAAAAGAATTTTAATTAACCGATTATTTTGGATTTAAAATTCATTGATGAAATTGTTGGTTTTGGCATCTATCATCTGTAAAATCCTATGATACTTAAACTTCTTTTCAAATGAAATTTCAAGTTTTTATCATTAAATAAATAAAATTATTTAAAATAATATTAAATTAAAGTTATAGAGTATATAGAAGTATGAGATACCAATCGTTTGAAAAATATTGTAAAAAAGAGAAAATGTCATTTTACAAAATTATGGATCATTCACCATGGCCAACAATGCATTCATCTCGACAAACCATATTGAGGCTATTGGTCTATATAATAATTAACATTCTATACATAAATGGCAGGGATAATTTGTTTAAAATTTTAAAGTTTAAGGCCCAAAATGCTACTTGTTTAATAGTTTAAGGTCTATGGTGCTAGTTAACTGGGAACCGTGGTAAACAGAAACAGTGAACAGTATGACATTAAAAAGATAATGATAGGGTTTAATTTGTCATGAATTTAAAAATTTAAAGTTTATTTTACACATTTTAAGTGTTTAGGATAAGGGTATTTTTCGAGCAAAAAAATTTAAAGTTTATTTTGCTCATTAACCTAATATCATTATATGACCTCCAATGACTTTTTTTGTTCATTTTGATATGTATCAAGGTATTTGAATATATTTTTTTAAATTATAATTTTGGGTTTATAATTAATTTTAGCATATATATATGTTTGGATATTTTTAAAAAATAATTTTAAATTTATATATAAAATTAAATTTAATATGTAATAATAACAAAAATGTTTGAATATATTTTCAAAAAATAATTATTTTAGTATTTAGAATTTATTATTAATGAAATCTAAATAGGCACATATATGTCAGGATCAATTATAAGTCCCAAATCATGATTTTTTTTTCTTTTACCTTAAATGTTCAAACATCCCTATACGCTATTTATGCCAGAATCAATTATAAATGCATAACTGTAATTTATAAAATAGAGTTTATATACTCTCATAAAAAAATAGAGTTTATATGATTTTTCAACAAATTTTTAAGGAAGGATACTTTAAATTTAAAAAATGATTTGAAAATCATTTAATGAGATAGCTTCTACTTTAGGTTTAAAATTGATTTTAACATATATAGGAGTGTTTAGATATTAAAAAAAAAAAAAACAATGGCTTTGGTTCATAATTGACTTTAACATATATGATTGGTGTTTAGATATTTAAAAAAAAATCATATTTTTGGGCTTACTTGATTTTCAATATGAACAAATTGGTTGTTAAATAATTGATGTTTTATTGCAATAAAATTACTTCCTCAAGATTTCTCTATAAACAATAATTCAAAGTATTGATGATATTAGGCCTAATTTAAAAGTGCTAGTCCCTTAACATTTGAATCCCAATTAAAAAATGTCTCTAAAATTAATTATATTTGAATATGATTGCCTTCAGAAAGATACATGTGAACACTTAAAAAAGAAGTGATTGAAAGTATTTTTAAAAATAAATAAATAAAAATCAAGTTACAATTTTAGGAATTAGCTTTTTTTCATTTTTTCCTCCACTTTTCATATTAATTATTGGATTAAATTTTGAATGGTTAGGATTTAATGTTTTATAAAATTAATATTGAAATATAAAATTATAAAAACAAACAATTAAATTTAAAATATAATAAATTTAACGTAAATTACAATTCAAAATTTTGTTATTGTTATAAAAAATAAAAAAAATATTTTTATAAAATATTAAATATTATCTAGTTACAATTTGATTCAGTGGTCGAGACAGGGACCGGAAAGAACATGGGGAGAAAAGAATTGTAGAGCCGAGTCTCAACAGAACTCACTAGCGTACCTGACTTCGAAAGCTTGCCTGTTGCCGAGGCATTCAACTTGTTTGAGTGGGCTAGCCGTCATCTACGCCTTGATCCATGGTGGTGGTCTCGCGTTTGTTCTTATTTGACAACTCCTGAGTCTACTTCGCGATCACGGAACGCTTGCTTTACTTAAGTATGATGATATTTTCTCGGATATCAAGAACGAATCTCAAAGGTAGCCTGAACGGATGTCGATGGTTGCTCTGGAGTCGAGACCAGAACCATCAAGGTCTTTTCTCGCATTACTGTCAGTCACCTGGAGGCTCTACGGTCAAGGTAGTACTAGCATCTCTTCTAAGCTCTCTTAAGTTATGTCTCTATATTTGAGCTGCTTATTTTCTGTGAGGATATCGATATGTTCATGGAGTTCCCATTATTTAGCTGTTCTCTGATCCAAAGCCGCAAACTTTTTTTTCTATTGGTTTGACGCCTCTGCTCTCAATGTTTTGAGCAATATGTCGTGTGGGATCATTTCTTTCTAATCTCTATCGACTGATTTAGTTCCATGAAGGATGAGACGTTGTAGTGCGTGCTTAGCCAAATGCTTGGACTTACAGTTTCAATCTTATCTTGCGGTTTTAGGTTATTGGTTAACAGGGCTGGCAAGTTCCTGATTACTGATGACTCATTTATAAATATTTGATTGTGTTGTTGCGTACTTCGAAATTTTTATGAAGTATGAATCTGATGTGGCGGATCATGAATAGTGGCATGGCTAATGTTAGCAGTGAAACTGCGCTCACCGTGCAGTAAAAGAGTGGACAAGGATTGCTTTCTTGTGCTTCCCTCACTTGTGGAGTCAGGAGACACAATCGTGATGAGAGCAATGACTAATGATAATATAGTTGTCACATTTTTGGTGAGTTTCAGGTTCTGAGAAGTTTAGCTTTTTCAAAGGGTCTTCTAAAATTGGATAATACTGGCCATCAAATCCATTATCAGGCCAGCTCCATTGTTGAGGTTAGTCTTTTATGCTCTTTTCTCCTCTTCTTTATTCTTGTTTAAATCACCACTTTTAAAAGATGATTCCATTGCTGGATCTTTCGGTTGATGACATATAATATTTCATTTGTATGTTTAACCTATAGCTGTGGAAAAAATATGATCTCATAATTACTGACAACCTAGAGATGCCAAAAGTAGAAAATTTTCCCCTCATATTTTACCACATGACACATCCATGCTTTTGTATTTCTTTATATTCAGTTAAAAGAAAATGAGCAATATATTACTGGGGTATTTCAATCTTCATCATTTAATTAGATATTGATAAACTGTTCTCCGGAGTCTCAACTGGCACACAATTACAAAACTCAACCCCCAGACATTTTTGCATTGTTTTTTAATTCAAAAAGTAGCCATATTATTTCAACGTCTAGCAGATAGATTATTATGGTCAGAGTCATTGGTATTTTGGCAAATGTTGAACCTGTTCAAGGACTTCAGAGCACATTTACCTTTCATTTAAGAGATTTGGGAAAAGTAGAGTGAAGGCTCTTTACCTGTAACCAATGTATGCTGTTAATTTAATTATTTTGGTTGGAGAGGGATGCCTGAATTTTCAATTATATACGTATTTGTTGTTGCCACTTTTATGGGGTACACTTCACAGCCTCTTCATGGTTCTATGCTAATGGCTATTTTGTTTTTTCCCCTTACATTTATGATGAGAAACTGGTGAGCTTTGTTTACTAAATGAAACTTTCTTTCTTTTTTGTTTATTATAAATCATTCTCTGCTCCTGTACTTCTTTATAGTGCCTTACCATTTTTGTTCCCAAAAGATTTCACTATTTGACCCTCCAAAATGACCCTTTCAATTAAGCCCTTCAATTAAATTCCCCCGATCATTTTCATTACTTGAAGGCCAAATTGAGGCGTTAGTCCCTATGACTTTAACAGATGGAGGAAGTAAAGTGACTAGGATTAAATTATTTAGAGTTAAACTGAGAAGGCTGCACTTTCGAAGACTATTTGTCTCCAGGGAAAAAAACAGTAATTTCCTTTTATATAACATTCTTAGAAGCAAAGCAACTTGAACTGCCATCAACAAGCACAAATGGATTTATTCAAATTTAAGAATCTACTTGGTAGAGTCTCTATCAATCTTGTACATTCATCTATTGAGATAAATATAATGTTTTCAGGATCAACTTGACCCATTTTCTCTGGTTGCCGATGAACTATCACTTGTTGGTAACAGGTTGCGAGCAATGGTAGTAGCTGAGGTATTAGATTGTTCTTTCATTTGTTTGAACACATGTCTGATTAGAAGCTACAGAGTCAATTCCATATTCTGCATAGGAGTGAAATATAATGAAGAATGAAAATTGGGAATTGTGCCACAGGTTCCTCAGCTTGCTTCAGCTGCTGAGTACTTCTTCAAAATGGGAGTGGAAGGGAAAAGATTTCGCCCTGCAGTAAGATCCAAGTCTCCACTTTGTTAAAACATTCACTACTACAGACATGTTAGCATGATCCAACAAGATCACATACTCATCTCATCTTTCTACAATTGTGTGTTTGCTGGGTCACACAAGTCAGGTTATGTGATCATAGCAGTTTGGACACAAAATCTGGTTTTTTCCCTTACTTTTCCTGATATTCAGGATCTGACCAAGATACCTTGGTACATGATTCAATGCACCGACTACTTACAAAGTGTTGGTGTCATTTACTCATTTTTCTGATTCTGAATCCGCTATCTATCCTTTGAAATGAAGAGTATGTATCTTGCACATCCATCTTCTTATCTCTGTCATGGGTTCCTGAACTTGAAATGTAGCTCAAGGCTAATGTATATAAAACGGTTGCCAGCTTTTCTGAAAGAATATTTGTGAAATAAAATTAACTCATAGTTTCTTTTTCTTTTTTTCCTTATTTGAATGCCTTTTTGTGCTTTTTAATCTTATAATTGTTGTTTATGGGCTTTAACTCCAGCTACTTATCTGTCTGAGTTTATAGTTTTTCTGTTTGTGATTTTACTTTTATGTATTACTCATGATTTTATCTGGCATACTCAATTCTTATCTGGATATGGTTTAATGTATGGGTGTTGGTGCAGGTTTTATTGTTGATGTCGACAGCATTAAATCTGCCCCTTGCTCCTAATGAGCTGGCAGGCACTTTGACAACAGAACTTCGTTCAAGACAACAAAGAATAGCTGAAATAACAGAAATGATCCATGTCAGAGCTTCAAAATTCTTCTTATATGAAGCAAATAGTAATTGCATGATGGTCCTAAAAAAATCATTTTTAGGACATCAATAATAATTCTTTAGTTGATCAAGGTGTACAAGAGAGTTTTTATATGGCACCTGTTTAGGTTGTGGCTTTAGTTTGTGCTTTGGTTGATCATATCACTGCTAATATATCCATGCAAAAAAGTGCAAGACCATATACGGGCAAAGAAAATTTGATGATATTGATCAACATTTTACTAATTAATACCCTTGTATATACTGCATCTCTGTCTTTTCTCATGTAGTTTGATGGGGGTGGATTCCCTTCATTGGGTAGAACAATAATTCTTGTGGCTTTGCCACGTTTCTTTCTCCTTACAAGCTGGTTTCTAAGGGTGGATTCACCATGCTTACTTAGGCTTCCATCAGAAAGTTATTCATGTTTTAATTTGGTTTTGTGAGAAAGAATTACTGGAAGATGGCTGTGATAGCAATAAGCAGGTAGGTGCATATGGGAAAACAATTCATGGATGAAACTATTCAGGTTATGTACTTGAGAGGGAGACAGTTTCAACTATGCAGTTCCTAATCTAGTTTTGCATTGCCCTGTTTATGACTCATTCACATATGATGCCACTAGGTGGTTAATTATATCCTTTTCTTAGGCAAAGTTGCATGACAAGACATTGAAAATCATCATTTTTGAAGGCTTCTTTTGTGTTGTAAATTGTAATATTTAACCCTTGTCCCTCTCCTTCTCCTTCTAAAGAATTTCTGGTTGTTTAAACTTGAAACAATGCATTATGGGAAAGTTCCGATGACATTACTGATCTGCCCCCCTTTTGCACTACTTAGTATTTATGTTTTCATTTTTATGGCTGCCCCTTCCAGGAAAAATGAAACTTCACCATTCCGTTAACAAAATAATATTTTTGTATGGTCACAGGTGGCTAGCCTTCTTCATGATGATGTTCTGGATGATGCAGATACAAGACGTGGTATTAGCTCATTAAATTCTGTAATGGGAAATAAGGTATGCGCATAATGTGTGGGATTTACTGGTTGCTTATAATTCGCTTTGTTCATTAGTGATCCATGATTTATTCTGCATGTAACTTGTTATGAGTTGGTTATTTTTCTACATTCTTGTTATTTTTGATGCAGTTGGCAGTGTTAGCTGGAAATTTTTTGCTTTCCCGGGCTTGTGTTACTCTAGCTTCTTTGAAACACAACGAGGTAGGCCAATGTGTTTTTTTATGTACAGATGTATCCCAGTGATGTTCAACATGCTAACATCGAGAAAACATAATCCCAAAGAACGATTCATTCCAATAAATTGATCTAGTTTTGATTTTTAGACGAGCTGTATTTTCATGGCCTTAGTGGATCATAGTAATTGAGGGATTATACATTGTTAATTTGTTACTTCAGATAATCTACTTTTTCAATCCACCAGTTTGATCCTTCAAAGCCATCCCATGGCAGCTTCCAACCCACCTTTATCCTCCTGACACCTGTTGAACCTTCAATAAACCTACATTTGGTTCTCGCTATTCCAGTCTAGGAATTCTAACTCTTTGATTTCCTAAGTCACCTAGTCCCATTGATAATGCATATTATTGTATAACTATCTGCTTAAAAATTCTAATCTTCCCAAGGATCGTGTTTGTGAAGGTTGTATATTTGATGGCAAAAGCTGTAGAGCATCTTGTAAGAGGGGAGACCAAGCAGATGACTACTTCTTCTGATCAACAGTGTAGGTATGCTTCTATATCATGCTTCTACCATGTACACATCTACCTTTCCTGTAGACCGTAGCTAGTTCTATAAACTGAAGAAGATAGCCTTGAATTTGGGTTTGTATCAATACGTATGATTTACTATATCAATTCTCATTGATTCTGTTAATAGATAAATATCACTCAAATGATCTTCACGGGAACACATAATAGATAAATCTTAAGATTGCGTTGAATCTTATAGGCCAAGAAAAAAAAAAATGAACGCATTGAATCTGAGGAGATATATAGAGCATTTTTGCCTTCTTTAACAATTGCTTATATACGCAGTATGGAATATCATATGGGAAAAAACATACTACAAGACTGCATCATTAATTTCAAACAGCTGCAAGGCAATTGCGCTGCTTGCAGGACAAGCAACAGAGGTTGCAACGTTGGCTTTTGAGTATGGGAAAAATATGGTTTGTATATTCTTAGTACTGTTAGATTATGATGTTAAAATTTTCTGTGGCCAAGAAAAAGAAATCACAATATCAAATTTGTGCAGCTGTGTACTGATATCTGATAGCACACTGGTTCTGAATACCATCCGTCTCTTGTTGTCTAGTCCTTGATTCTCTGTCATCTGATTGAGCGGCAAACATGTGTTCTATATGCGTTTGAATGACATACTTTAATAAAGTCATGTATTTTGCAGGGTTTGGCATATCAACTGATAGATGATGTCCTTGATTTCACAGGCACATCAGCTTCTCTTGGGAAAGGCTCTTTATCAGACATTCACCATGTAATTTCGTAATTCCTTTTCTTTTTTTCTGATTTGTAGATTTATCCATTCTGATTTTGTCGTTACAGTTATAAATTAAAAATTAGTTTTAAAGCATGCATTGGGGAAAAAATCAGAATTCTTCATTTGTCTATTTGCACAGCATGAATGCTATACCTGCCCATGTTGCTGTGTTGCATATGGGGTTTTCAACGAAAACGATATATTCAGGTGTGAATAAATTTAGCTGGCATTTAGATTGATGGATTTAATTTTGAATTTTAAATTTAAAATCTCACACTTAAAATCCTTGGTTTAGATAGCGCAAAAAATTATGTAGATAGAAGATAGATGAGCTAAGGTTCAAAGTAGAAACAAAAGATTAGAAGTGATGAGCTTGTCTCTGTTCTTCAATCTATGAGATATGAGAAGAGAGACAAGAGGAGAGGTGAGAGTAACAAAAGCATTGATAATAAAAACGTGAAGAAAATGAGAGGGTTAAATTAAGTAAAATTTCAAAGGAAAAATTGCATTCAAGTTTCACAGGAGGAAGTTTATTACTGAGAGATCACATGAATTTTACAAAATACACTTAAGTCCTAAATCTTGTGCATTGACAACTTGACTAAGGGTATTGACAATTGGACAATGGCCATTAACAAGTTATAAATGGCCGTTACCCAGTTGTCAATATCTTAGTCAACTTGTCAATGCGCAGGATTTAGGATTTGAGAATATTTTATGAAATTTATGGGATTTCTTGATAATAACTTCCTTTTGTAGGACCTAAATGTAATTTTTCCAATTTCAAATAACTAGGGTCTAGAAACAATTTGAAACTACAAAGAAGTTATAACAAAATGTGGATTTGGATTTTCTTTTATGTATCCAAATAGGGAGTTTGATTTAAATCCAAATCCCCATGCATCCAAATACACCATAACAGTATTTACTTTACTGTTATGCATTGCTGAATCGCATTTGCTTATTGTGAAAATGCAATGTCTGAAGAATGTTTGATAGTGCTCCATTCATCGTTCCCTTATAACAGTGTTTAATTGTTTCAACTTCTGACAGTTCAGTATTTAAGGTTACATCCCTCATTTGTAAGCAAATTCACAACTCTGATACTAAGTGTAACTGAGACATTATTTTGTTATAAGTCGCATTATGACATTTTTCAAGAGACATTTGTCTTCCTGTCAATTTTACTGCTGGCCTCAAATTATTGCAGGGCATTGTAACAGCTCCATTATTGTTTGCGATGGAGGAATTCCCTCAGCTGCGCAGAGTTATTGAAAGGGGCTTTGACAACCCTGCAAATGTTGATCTTGTAAGTTTTGTGATGTGCTTGCATTGTGTGTTTAGTTTAAATCATACTAAGCAGAGGTAGAAACTATTTTGAGGGATTTTACACATTGGTTAATGTACCTTGTAAGGATGACAGTTAGATTTCATCATTGATAGGCACCAGAGGCAGAGCCACCTGTAAGTGAGAGGGGCATACTTGGAGAAAATTACACGCTTAGCGTTATAAGTTATCATATTTTGTACTCCTCATTTTGATATTTTGGACTTCAAGCCCATTTTAGTCTTGAATGACAACAAGCCATTTTCAATTTTCAAAACATGAAACCATGTGGAGAAAATTTATGTAATTATTAATTAATTATTTCATTATTAAATTACTTTTTTCAATTATTAATATTTAAATAAATCTGCCCCCTCTGATTTAGGGACCTGGCTCTGCCACTGATGATAAGCACCCCACCGCATTCACTAACCCACTAATGGTAACAGCACAGAAGGAACAAAAAAATTTCTGTAATGAGAGCAGGCAATGTATAGAAATGTTCAAGCAAATTATGTTGAAAAGTATTACTTTTTGTGAGTGTTGTGAATAAAATAACTGGGATATAGTACCAAAAAGCAATGAGCTCATCAATAACAAAACTTGCCTGGATTTTAAAAGGAAAAGTTCAACAAGAGTAAATGTTTTCAGCACCAAATGTGAGATAAAGAGGAAAACATGAAACTGCTGCTGCCAGCACTGATAATGCCGCCTAGTGCAGTTGATAATGGGACTTTATTCTTTTGCCTCGTGTAAAACTGCAACCTCACTATAATATTCATACTTGTTAGACTGGTTTGTTTATACACTTACATGTTTGGAAATGCAGGCTCTGGATTATCTTGGAAAGAGCCGAGGTTTACAGAAGGCAAGGGAGTTAGCCTTGAAGCATGCTAAGCTTGCAGCATCAGCAATCGATTCCCTGCCTGCGAGTGATGATGATGAAGTAAGAAAATCAAGGAGAGCTTTGGTTGATCTTACTCACAGAGTTATAACAAGAACCAAATGAAAAAGGAACACAATTGCGGTCAAATGCATAAACAATAGGGTCTGGGCCGAGTCATAGGGTCTAAATTAAAGTAAGCTTATATAATTTATGGCTTATAAATAGTGCAGTTTCCTCATCATCAATAACTGCCAATGTTGTAATTCAGATTTTTTGTCATTGTTGCTAGACTGGGAGGCCAAATCCATACTGCCTTATGTTTATGTCGTTGTTCCATCTCCTTGCCAAGCGTTTTAGATTAACTGTGTCTGGTTCACACATTTCTCTATTTATCAATCGACCAATGCATCCATTTATCTACGTGTATGATAAAAACGATGGAAACATCAGTAATTCGTGATTATTATTATTATTATTATTTGGGGACCAGAAACTAATGAATTTTAGACACTTCACATTTTACACTCAACTAAAAAAAAAAGAAAAAGAAAAAAACACCCGTTATTTTAAAGTTTTTCTTAAAGCAATTTTATCTCAATTAGGGGTGTTTACGGTACAAGATTGGGACACTCCTGTCTCAAGTCATGTCCTAATAGATTGAATTTTGCTCTCGTGTTTCTTCCCGTTCTGCAAGTAGTCTTTACTTGTTAGGAGTCGGGATGGAATCGGGACAAGATTAGAATGTCCAACTATCTCAATAAATAGGATAATATCAAAAAAAATTTAAATAATAACATTCATTAAAATTTTAAATCATATAATTTATTAAATTTAAAACGAAACAATATAAGTACATAAATTACAATAATTTAAAATTAATTATTGGATTATATTAATCATAACTACACATTATAATAGCAAATACACATTATCTTTATGCTATAAAATTGACAACAACCGGTAAATCAAGCACAACATCAAATCATTGTTATTTTATTTTAGTGAAACTGTACTAAGTTAATTACTCTTGTAAACATAAAACAAGAAATATGTTATAAATAAAAGTTATTAAATAGAGATATATATATATATATATATATATAAGAATAAATTATATTAATATAATTAATATATTATAAAAAAAATCATCATGTTTACTCAATGTCATTAAAATTATTAATATAAAAAATTTTAACTTTAAATAAGAATTATAAGTATTGAAATTATAATTAATATAAGTATATATTATATTAATATAATCAATATATTTAAAATAACAAATAATATATATAATATTCAGAATAGGACGAGACGTCCTAATAATAATCTCGTGTCCTATTCTGTTTCAAACTCCTTTCCTATCCCGTATTATAAAGTTCCATCTGATTATTTTTGAGTCAGAATAAGACCCATCTTAATATAATCGAGACGATATCAAATTAATTAGAATGAGTTCAATCTGAACACTCTTACTCGAATCCTTTAAAAAGAAAAGATTTTCACCTTATCATTAAAAAAATACACCTCGACAATACACATTTACACCTCGCCTATTTTTTTTCCCCCTCCCTCCTGATTTTATCAAGAGCCATTGGAACACCCATCTCAGCAAAAGGCTTCGCAACCAAAGAAACGACTCCATCACTCACAAGAAGCTCCCGTCCCTACCTTCTTTTCCAGATCATAATCACGCTTCCAACAAGAGACTGACCAAGAAGAAGAAGAAAGGCAAGGCGCATGAGAATGACTACAGGCAGAGAAAGAAGAGTTAGAGAAGGCCATAGCGGATCTACCAGCCAAGACAAGAAAGGGAACGTTTGGCGAGAGAATGCCCAATCATACTTATAATTATGAATTACGAATCATTTGTGTTACAAATTGCAAATTCATCGAATTAACCTCGTTCAGAAAACGTCATTTGTTCCCTGGGGACGATGCTTGTGGCCCAGGGATTCCAAAAACTCGTACTGGCCGACCTCTCCTAAGCCCATGCAGAACCAAATGCTCTATCATCTCCCCAAACTCTTGCGCTTCCATCAACGTAGAAGTTGCCGGAATCGACAGCCCACAGTTCTTGGTTACTTCTGTCTGCTTCGCAGCCCTCGATCTCTCCGACTTCCAAGACACCCTGTTGCACAAATCATCGAAAGGGGCCCTTGAGGGTAAGATCGAATTCGTTTCGCAGGGGTCCGAATCGAAAGCAGACCAACGCGAGGTTGAACCTTGGGATCGAAGGAGGGGGCTTTTTGTGAATAAAGGGCTGAAATTCGAAGGACAAGCTTGAGGAAGAAGAATGAAGAAGAAAAAAAGGCGCTTGAGGAGGAAAAAATTCATAAGAACTTTTTCATCAAGCGACACGTGTCAATATTTCGGTCGAATCAAATTTTTAATGGTGAACGTTATTCAGAGTTAAGGGTCGGCCGAAAATGCTTCCTTTTTAAATTTTCGAGAGTATTGTTTCAGGAAAAAGTTTGAGATCGAAGGCATTTTTGAAGAAAAAATTTTAGGTGATTTTTATCCTTTTAAAAAAAATACTATCTTAATTTCCGTTGATATATGTATAGTGTGCTGATGTGATTATTTTTAAATAATACTTTTTATTTATTATATAATAAGACACATTTTTCACGTGTTATATGAATTTTGAAATAAATTGAAGTGATAATTTTGAAGAATAAATTATAAAATTTTAAGAATTAATGAAAAAAATATAAATAAATTATATAAAATACTCTATTTCTTAGGCCTTAATCCTTTTTAAATTAATAATTTTTTTATTATATATAAGTATTATCATTTTTAAAATATGATTTGATATTAAATGTAAGTGATTCTCAAAATAATTATTTGAATATTGGTTTATTATATCGTGAGACGTTAATCTTTTTTTATTAAATTTAATTTTGTTTTAACCAAAATTTTAAAAGATAGATGGGATGTTGGTCCCAAATATAACTGAGTTTTGGTGGTCGCAGTTAAATAAACTAAAACTTTTAATTGATTACTTTTGTTTGTGAATCTTTTTAAGATTTCCTGACTGTATGAATCAGGCAGTTAATATCAGACCAAATCATCTATATATTCTTTCCATTTTCATATATAAAAAAGATTATATTATACAGTTTAAAAAAATTAATTAAATATAATAATTATATTTAAAAATAAAAAAATTAAACTAAAATACCCTATATTAATTAACTTATACATGTTTTTTTTATTAATGTAAATTTTAAGGAGTAATTTAAAAAATATATAATAAATATTTATTAAAATATATAATTTTATTTATATTAAACGAGTAAAGAATGATAGCTTCTCATAATGTAAATTATAAGGAGTAATTTAAAAAATATGTAATGAATATTTATTAAATATATGATTTTTTTATATAAAAAAAGTAAAGAATGATAGCTTCTGGTACAAACAAAAATAGAGGGAATATATATTCGTTCAAAAATATAAAGCATTTTTAATCAAATCTTATCTTCCAATAAAGTTATTACCTACTTTTAAACTAATCCTATTTTTTTTATATTTACTCCTATTAAATACCCTATGATAAATATAAAGTTATTATCAATAAGAAAATTTAAAAAAAAATAATGATTACACCCCAAAAGATTAAAAATATCTTACATTTTTTAATATCTAACTCTTCAAAAAATATTTTATATTTATAAATAGAAGAAGTATTAAAATCTATCACATGGTACTGTTCATCTATAGCTGAATGAACAATACCATGAATTTTTCTTTTTTAAAATTTAACTCAATATATTAATGGTTCATGTGAAACCCACGACAAAAATTAAAAAATAGGTGTAGTACCCATAGTAAAAAATACTTATAGATAATTAATTATTGGATATTTATCATTTATTACTTGTATTGTGAATATGTATAAGATAATTAATTGTATATAACATATAAATTTAAATAATAAATCACAAAATGCAATATTTTATTATTTAAATAAATAAATTTATTCCTATTTAATTTTATATATGAGCAAATCATTTAAAAAAATAATTAATCCTAATAATTATGTTTGAAATTGAAAAGTTTGAATTAAGATGCACTTGTAATTAACACTTTATTTTTTCTTAATTTAATGATACTATAATTTAAAAAATATGTCATAAATACTTTTTGAAAGCTATTGTTTTGCAGGTAAAAGAATAAGAACAAACTATATAAAAATTTTGCTTAGATTTCAAAAGAGGAAAACACATAGTAAAATTTGACAATGGAATAAAACTATAATAATTTTATGAGATATATCGGATTTGAATTTAATAACTTGACAAATTTTATCACTTAATGAGTGTTATAGCATAATAATAATTATTCAATTTAATTGAATTGTTATAAGATATTTTGTCATAAAATACTAAAAATTAATCAAATCTTAAATTTTTAAAGAGGACAAGGAGTGTTAGAAGTCTTTTCATCATGAAAGTTATTTTAAAATTGTATAAAAAATATATTTTAATAATTTTTAAGTATTAATATTATTCAATGATATAATTGATATACTCATTGAATGAGTAGATTTAGGTCATTTAATGAATTTAAGTTCAAAATAAATTATTATAGTTCTATAGTGATCTAACTATTTTTAAAAAAATTAAAATTTTATTTTAAAATATTGAAGTTACTAGCATCGAATGCTGCAAACAACTATAATCAATCATAATTTTAAAATTATGTTTTAATCTATCTACTTTTTTATTATAAATGTCAAACTTGTAATAAAAATATAAATGGAGAATTTATAATAAAATTATAAATTTAATTTTTACAAATGATAAAAACTCAACTCTACAATTTGAAATTCAAAATGAATTACCCAAAAATTATTTTAAATAATAGATATTTAAATCACCATTTAAATAAAAAAATATTAAACTGTTAATAAAAACATCTTATGTATGCTTAAAAAAAGAAACACTGGTTTTACGTGCAACAAAATGATATAACTCATTTTTTAAATTAATACTACACAATTAACATATTATTTAGGTACACATAATCTACTTATATATAAAAATAATTAAATCAATAAACCTAACATGAGGCCTTTGCAATCTAATCTACATTAATCTATAAACACTTTCATTCATTATCTTATAGAATGATGCTATATATTACTTGAAATGCTCCAAATCTTTGGTAACATCATTTTGCATAACCCTTCATTCTATCTAATCCAAAACATAAGAAAATTTAGCACCATAAATTAGAAAATCCAATCTAGCATAGTAAATTTTATAAAGATAATTAAAAATTTAAAATATATAAACTTGAACTTTATCATAACCATAAGTGCAAATGTGTGTGTGTAAATACAGAACCAAGGAACCAAAAAAATAAACATAATCATCTAAGGAAAAAGAAAAAATAATAGAGGGAGTAG